TATACATACACACTTTTTTTTTTTATTGCAGTGAGTTGAGTTGATTTGAACTGAAGGAAAATTTAGTGTGTTTCTCTGTTTCAAATCACTGGTACATTTAATTACAGTATATTTTGGTGACTGTCCTGTAATTACAAAAATCCCAGGTTCAACCATCACAGCGGTCTTTAAACATGTCCTTGATAGGGTTCTCTCCGACCTTCCTGAATTATCATGGCGTGTCATGGAAAGGTGGGAATTGTAGGTCAGGGGCATATCAAAACAGAGAAATAAAAGCAGCTTCATGGAACAAAGCTGGCAGGGTTTTCTAGCTTGTTTCACACGTTTGCTGCAATTGATGATTTTCAGCCCAAAACGGAAAATCTGAAAAAAGTCATGGAATTTAACATCTGGGTCATGGTGGGAAGCCTGCCTTAGGAAACATGCTGTATCCCCACCTGCTTTGTCGGTTATGACTGCCAGCTAAAACGCCTACACTGAGGCTACAGGCAACAGAACATAAAACAAAAATCAAATGAATGTTGGTAATACATGAGTTTCAGTCTAAAGTGTTCATACAAGGCCAGCATTCAGCGAATCACACAAGGAATGGTGTGTGACAACCTGGGGGGGAAAAAAACAAAAGAACACAAGATGTTAGCTTACGTATTTTTCAATAATGTTACAACATATATAATAGCTCTAACCTAATAGGAATAATGAAAATCAAAAGATAATGCAAGTAGGTGCTATAATGAAACTACCTTACTTATTGGGTGATTATCTTTTTAATTTGTCCAAATACACATTGTATTCTAGGAGATTTGTGTTACAGTTAGGGTGTGTTGCCTGACTTCATGATGGTTTTGTTCTGCCTGAAATATGCTGCTAGCACCAAGTATCAAAACCTGTCAAATAGTGAAACATTTCGTTGAGCGTCTTGTCAGATTCCTCTTTTTCCTTACTTTTTTGGATCACAGTTTCTGATTTAAGCCTGAATCCTAAAATTCAGTTATCATACCAGCGTGAGTATTAAAAATTTCAAACAATACCCAGCTTCTTACATGAATGCTGACAGTTCTCCAAAGCATGCCATACCTTTGTTGATTTTTACATGCTCCTTTGCCCATATTTCATGCTGCCATTGATTTTATTTTATATTTCATATGGTAGAAATCAGTTTGCAGAGGCCTGAAAAGTCTGTTCGAGAACTCATCAGAATGAACATCATGTCAGTGTTTTAGTCAGAGATAAGTTATTGCTTTGTGGCAGTACAGTGCAGACTTTTCAAGTCAATCTGTGCCGACAGCTGCACAGCCAGAATGCATACCATAACCGCTATTAAAAACTCCAACCACACTCACACGCTGTAATGAGGCGAAACTACTCATTCTCAGCGAGGTGGAATAAACACATTCACATCCAGAAAACACCATGGTGTTCTACGGGGAATGTCAGCAATTGAAAGTAAGTAGAATACGGAGCACCGCACATGCAGTATGTCAATAGATTTAAAAGACATTTGCAAAGACCACAGTTTTGACACAGTCAAATACTTCTAATGTGTTAAAGTAAAGCCCAGCCATTTAGAGCCTACAAATGCCATAGAAAGAAGAAATATCTGAAAAATCTTGTGGTATTCTGTAAATTGCTTTGATCTGGTGATGAAGTATGCCAAAGTTAAAGTCCTGTAAAAATACCACTGTCTGAAATTTCTTCCTTTACCGTAATACAGTGGAGGTGAATGGAATCTGTCAATAACACCATCATTGTTACTCTGGATAATCCATCAAGCTGTGGACAGTTTCTGTTTCTCACTGTAGAAATAGTCCTCACAAAAACTGTTGACAGATGTAAAATTTTTTAAATATCCAAATTTTTCAGTTGTGTGAGCACCACAAATAAATGAAAACCAATTCACTTTCAATATATTAAAATTCTTAAAGCCAAAACTCACAAATGTTGATAAATAAAACCCAAACTAGATTAGTGCTGCAGCGATTAATTGATTTATCAATTATAAGATTCATTGCCAACTGTTAATAACTTTTTTATGCCAAAGTTCTCAGATCCCAACTTATTAAATGTGAATATTTTCTGGTTTCTCTCTTCCTCTATGAAAGTAAATTGGAAGTCCTTGGGACATGGACAAAACTAGACATTTGTGGATGTCGTCTTGGGCTTTGTGAAACACTGATCCACATTTCTCAGAATTTCCTGCCATTCTCTTAACCAAACAACTAAATAATTAATCAAGAAAATATTTAACAGATGAACTGACAATGATAATAATCATTAGTTGCAACCTGAGTTTAGTTATTATTATTATTGTTGTTGTTGTTGTAGTTGTTGTTGTTGTTTTAGTAGTAGTATATTTTATGAAGACAAAATAATTTGTCTAAAAACTGTTACTCCTTGAGTTATCACTGTATTTCTGGGGAGAAGTTCCTACTAAATTTTTTTGAATATCCAAGTTTTTCAGTATTGTGAGCCCCACAAATAACACTGAAACTCTCAGAGCCAGAAATCTGAAAATGCGGACAAGTGTAACCCTGGTTAGAGAACACTAGTCAGTGTTAGTAGTAATTAGAAAATGCAGTATGTTTTTCCTACTTTAGGTAAATTGACCCCAGAACACCAATTTTAAATCAATGCAATATGACTATACAGTACAGTGTACTGTAATGTCAGTACAATGCCCACAATATGCTTGTATTTGTCACATTAGGCCAGACTAGTCGCCCATAGAGTTGTCAGGGCAAAGCTTTGGTTTCATTTTCCACATCACAATTAGGAAGTAGTCTTTTCAGTTGCTCTTGTTGGTCCCATCAGCCGGTTGGTTATTGTGGTGTTTGAACCGCAGTCTGCATTCATTGATCAGTGAGTTATTCTTGTGTAAACCCACCGACAGCAATGAATGTTTATTGCAGCCTGAAGAGTAGAAGCCTCCTGCATCCCAGCTAATCCGATGAAGTCTATCCCGGAGATTCTGGATGCATAATGGTCACAGGTTTGATCCGGATTTCATGTCGTGGACTCTGGTTCTGCATTTTGCTCTGAATACCTGAAATTCATCATTGAGCAGCCTTCAGCAGATCACATGTGCTGTGGTGTCCCTCAGGGTACAGTCAACGGTCGATGGTTTTGGTCAGAGCTCAAACTCACCGACAGCGTTGAATGTTCCCCGTGGGTACCAGGAACTGAGATGTTGGACTGATGGCAGCAATTTGACTTGTCAGAAAATATCAACATTTGCACTACATGAGCAAGAAAAGTCAAGCTACCAAGTTTATTTTCATTCTTCTTCAGCCCCTCTTTCTCGCTGCAGTTTGACTCAGACAAGTGGAAATTCACAGAAACATACGCCTGTCCCTCGCTTGTTCGTTTCCATCCAAACCACATAGATTTTAAATGTCTGCAGTTCCAATCAAAACATACATTTTCGTTTTTTGCTTGCCTGCTATGATGTCAGACATGTCATTGCCTTATACATCCACCTCAGCTGTCAACAGATGGCTATGATAGTAAAAAATACTAACTTTGTAAAGCTAATCATCACCAAGAAAGACAAGCTAGACATAACTGTGGGCTGAGCATCACAGACGTTTGTGTGTCTGTCCGTGTGTGCTTCTGTGTTTCTCTTGGCCTGTGTGGAGCATTTCCATGCCAAAATGTGTTACCACCCATGTCGGTGTGGAGGCTCAAATAACAATGAGAATCCAGCGGGAGCGAGCGAGGAGAGGTGGTGATGCAAAGGTTTGGGTTTCCTTAAATAGCCCTGCAGACGTGGTGAACACCATCTTCGTTGTCATCATCCTCACCTTCTGCAAAACTACTAACAAAACTCTCATCTGTCTCCGTCGAGCCGGCGCTCCCCTCATCTTCAGCCTGCAGCAAGAAGACGAACAAAAAGAAAAGGGGGTAAAGAATCAGAAAAGGCATGAATAAAAGGACAGAATACGACGTCAGTCAGGCTCATGGAAGGAATTGAGTTGGTACAAGTGTGATCAGAGGACGCTGCTGTGCCCCACAGCTTAAGCTAGTGCACTGCAGTGTCGAGCTAGTTAGAGATTACTGTTCCCTTTACCCTGCGCTGAACCTCAGCTTCTGCTCTGGGAGTGCGTCTTCCTGTGTTCGCCTCTTTGAGGTTGGAAAATCATGCAGTCATGTTTTATTAATGCTCTCTCTGTCTGTCTCTCCTTTTCTGTCTTTCACTCCCCTGTTATGCCTGCTTCCCTCAACACTGAAGAGGAGATTTGGAACACTGTATTTTGTTTGTTCTGCATCCTCTTTCTACGTCGAACTGAGGTATTTTATATAGGTTGTGGTTTTGATTTGAGGAGGTACTGAAACTTGCTAAGTAGGTAGTGAATACATGATGCAACTCATTGTAGAGAGATTTGTTGCAGTTCTGCAGGATTTGTGTTCTGTTAGATCAATCAGATGGAAAATAAGAGAATTGGATCTGCAGATTTCTGTGTTCTCTGCACACCACAGGCTTTCAGAAAGGAGCCACACTCTCCTGCTTTCTGCATAATGAATGATCACTTCAGGAAGAAAGAGGCACAATTCACTCTCTCCGACTTTGACACAGTTCACTGACCATGGAGGAGACATCATTATTACCACAATATAATACCAGAATATTTCTTAATTTCCTGTGTTCCATGAATTATTTTCATTGTTGTCAGCGTTTCTGCCTTGTGGTGTTTCTTTAAAGAAAGTCCAAAATTGTCAAGATAAAATAATTTTCACTATTAATTTAAATAACCAGCATAATGTTGGACAAAGACTCTTTAATTCTTAGATAAATATTTTGTTCAAAGTTACTTATTGCACTTTTCATTTTGTACAAGTCAGGTATCATTCTTTTTCCTCCAGTTTTTCTTGTCGATAAGAAGCTCTCGCTACCGAGATGCCACCTTATCTTTTGAGAGAATACATTCTGCCATGTTTTCCTAATTTCCCTCTGTGCTTTCACTCACAGAGAAGGTGGGAAGTAATAGTTATTTCAGTCGCCCTGGCTCGGGCTTCAGTGGCTTCCCTCCTTGGCACTTGTACTGTTTGGCTGTGTGCCTGAGACACACAGAGGCTTTTTTCATTCTCAAATATCTCTCTGTCCACCCCCCACCCCACCTTTTTTTCATCTGACTAGACTTCCGTTCCCCCTGCACTTGGGAGAACTTATATGTGTTAGCGGGCTGTACACACACACTGACTTATTCATCAGTTTGAGGCGTGGCCGCACTTCCGCATCGGGGGTTCTTGATAATACCACCGCTGGCATAGTCCCCAGAAACTTTGCATAACTGACAAACTTGCAAAAGTATAGTGTGTAAAAATAACTGGGCGAGCATGAGAGCCTGACAGGGCCAGAGTGAAGAGTGCAACAGTGCGACTGAACCAGTGTGAACCCTGCGTCGTCAGCACATTCCAGGGGTTGGACAATGAGAAGCACACTGTGTACTCTCTGTCGTGTTGCCTGCATAGCTGGCTGGTCTGCAGCCAGGACTTCGTGCTGTCTGAAACAAGGCCAACACAACACAGATGCAAAAAATCCTGCAAAATGAGCTCCTTTTTTTAAGTCACAAATGTCAGTTATGCTAGCATTGCATAGCTACCGGCTTCAACTTGTTTCATGTGTGAAAAGGTAAACATGGGATTATGAATAGGTAAAGACTTGAAAGCAGACCCTCATGTGCAGAGTTATCAGTGCAACCATGGTACTGTGATCTTTGTTTGGTAAGATTAAGTCTGGTAACAGGTTCAAGGACTCAAACACTGACTAAAATATGAGAACATGGTGTGGAGAGGATGTATTCTGAGACAAGAATCCCTGGGGAATTGAGTTAAAGCGCCAGGAACGAGACCTCAGTGTTGTATACCATTTCTCTCTGTTGGAGTTGAAGTTAATCAGCTTGCATGGTCTGAGCTTCAGGTACAGTCTGAGAAATGTAAGCCAGGAACCAAGACTGTTGAGTCAGGAACTGATCTTGAAATCCCTGGATTGGAAGATGAAGCTATTCACCCGTCCAAAACTCCACACCCTGACATTCTACTGGACTGTTACATTGTAAAACCTCCTACTGTTTCCTTTCACTTTACATTTCACATTGTGGTCATTTCACCGATACTGTGTACACCCTGAGACCAAACGCGATTTAGGCAATACATTGTATTGATTCCCACCATTGGACACCCAAAACTTGCTTAATATCCCTTTTTTCTCTGACAGTACAAATCCTATGTACATAACATAACTGTACCAACAGTTAACCTGACACTCCCAGCATAGCTCAGATGCCTGTTTAAAAATACTCAGGCTGGGAGGCTGCCAGCATATGCTCTCACACACTTTCCCATCCCATCATGCCTCTTGACAATTATTATTATACAATCCGCTGGTGCTGTGAGACATCTCCTAATGGAAGTGCACGAGGAGATTAAATCGCTAAAATCACTCGCACCATGAGTGATCCTCTTCGTGGGCAAACTCAATCAAATTCAACAAATATGTCTTAATTGCTGTGTCAGTCGCAAAATAGGCTTTAAGTCAGATTGGACATTTTAATATCTGCTCGAATTAAGACGTTTATAATGAGATTTAGCGGTGCAGCAGGGTCGCTCAGTATCATATTTAGCTGTCACTCTGCTGCATTTGTTGTCAGACATTTGTAAAGTGGAATGGACTGTGATATAACAGTGCTGATAAGACATGAGAATACCAATAAATACGTTTGGGTTATATAAACATAAGAGACCAATAATGGCCTTGCTGTAGCAGTAATATTTGCCACATGTGGTGCATAAAGTATGTGTAATGACGTATTAAAAACTGACCAAAACTGCTTGTGTGGGTTAAATTCTAGTTCAGTATTTTGGTCCTGTTCAATGCAATTATAAATAAATAGTCTGTTTCACATCATCATTTATATAAAGTGTTAGCACTGGTGGGACTTCTAATTATTTTTTTCAGGCCTGTTTGCCTTTATTTAACAGTAAAGGACAGACTTTTAGGAAACATGGGTAGGACGAAGGAGAGGACATATGACAAAGGTCGTTGTACTCTGGTATTGCGGATCTCAGAGTGCTGGATTCAACTTAACCATTATCTTTAAAGATGCCATATTTTCATTCAAAATAGCAGCTCATCACTCTGACGTACCACAACCTAACTAAATGAATCTTGCCGATGTCAAACATTGCTTCATGAGCTGTAGTGTATTTTCTATGATCATGGCATAAATAAAATGATTCCTAACCATAGAAAAGCCAAACTGGCAGAACGTGCAATGTGCAGGCCGGCCCTGCTCCAGTGCGGGGTCTCCTTCAAGCAGAGCGCCAAGCCTTTCCAGAAACACCCTGCCTCCACGTGCCTAAGATCATCCTGCCAAGGCTCCAGGGGTTTCATTTGCAACCTAAACTGCGTCCGAGCCAGCGTCTCTCTCTGCTGCCAGCTCCCTTTTCAGCATTAACCCGTGGCTCTCTCTTGACGGTGACGTACTGTTTTCTTTAACATACCGGCTTCACTGCTTACGACTTACCTTTCGCCCCCATCTTCTCCTCAGTTCCTCCTCACAACAGCAAGTATCCTCATCCTTTCCAGGGCTGATTGACAAGTCTGTCTGCCTGCTCTGTTTTTTTCTCTTTTCTCTCTCTGCTTTGCACCTTTGAACCCCGTGTTGATGCACTTGATCACATCATGTCAGTCTGGCTCCAGTTGACTTATCCACTCCAGCAGCATGCCTGAGAAAACTGCACTGTATGTCACACTCCTCTCTTCTCCAAAGCTTTGTCGGCTCATTTCAGTCATGAGCGCTGAGGCTGATGAATATGTATCCCAGGCTCTTTTCGCAGCAGTTTTGAGGATCTCTAACAAAGCGGGATGAGAGATCCCTTTGTGGTTGTCTTCTGGATTTAACCGTGACATTTCTCTGGTGCCTGGTGCCACTTTTTATCTTCAACAGACTTTATCCCCAGGTCAGACTCGCGGCCCCTTTTGAACGCCGGCATTGTCAGAGCTCACACCCACAATCCGTGCTCCAACTACCATATTTCGTTATTTGGGAACTCGGTCTGTTTGACTCGTAAGGCCTTAATTGAGTCATTACAGCAGTGCAAAAATATCTTGCCAAACACAAACAAATGTATCCTCAAGCAAACCCAAACAAAAGGTTACACAACGCTTACTTGTGGCACATAATCCATGTTTTAAATCTGTCGAGTTTACGCAGTGCAGTGGCAGAATCGTCAGCGTATGCGGGAATCAGCGTTTCCCTCGTCTACCCAGCATTCAAACTCGCTGCACCCTGGACTGCAGCAGTAAACAGCAGGGAACAGGGAATCGGGCCATCATCATCTTAAAACACCCTCAGTCTCCTGCACCCACCACACCCACAAAACAGGGGAGCCTCACACTGAGAGATTTAGAAATAGCACAGAGAAGGGAAGCAGAGGAGTGAAAATCACAGATGGCAATTCTGATTTCATATTTCCGTTATCAGTGGGAGCCAGCAGGGTGAGCCAGCATGGGAATGACCTGGATACTGATCGACCTTTATTCTGCCCAGATGCTGCCTGTGCCACCTTACAGCCAGACAGACGTAGTCGATCGAAATCACGTTGCTCATGTGCTTAGTAAAAATAAGTGAGAAGAAGGAATATGAGCAGGATGTGAGATGAGGTGAAACCCCTCATTTTAGAGAAGCACCTTAAAAAAAAAAAAAAAAAAATTCAGCAGCCACCAGGGCTGCATACAAAAGAGAATGGGAGATAAACAGGGTGCAAAAATGAAACCTGCTTTAATTTGCTATTTGTCTTTTGTGATTAACCATAGCACCTTCCTACACCACTCTGTCCTCCATTTTTAGCTCACGTTAAAATCAGAA